TTAAAGTTTAATGTAAAAAAAAGAAAGTATGAGTTAGTTTGAAATAATAAAAACAAGCTGAAAGATTCAATGGGCCTTGTGTTTGTCTTTGGCCCAAACAAAACAGGTGGGTTTAGGAAAAAGGAGGGGGTGCGCATGCTGGAAATATGATGGGCCTAGGCATTTGTGGAACGGGCAAGGCCCATTGTGTTTGACGCAAGTTTTGTAAGGGTTTCAGAGCTTTGGTTCACTTGGGAATTAGGGTTAGGCAACAGAGGCGCTGTTCACTTCGTTTCTATCCTCTTCATCTTCTCCAACCGAATATAGCTTACTGACGCTCCTCTGTCCTCGTTGCCAGGCGCCGTTCCCTCTCTCCTTTCCCCATATTCACGCAGGCGGCGACGTTTGCAAGGTAACGATTTCATAACTTATGTTTTAGGGTTTCCAGTTCGTGCACGTTTTTTACTCCTTGATAAATTCTAATCTCTGAACATTATTATTGTTATGTGAGGTGTGAAGGAAAAAAAAGTAGAAAAGTTATACCTTCGTTGTCTTTTGAAAATGGAGGAGAAAGCTGGAGGCGCCTAGGATGGACGGGGCGGAGAGGTGCGTGATGCTCTGAACCTTTGCTTCCTGGTATCTTTATTTTTTGCCTTTTAGGTTTTGTGATGAGCTTCTGAAAACATTTGCTTTAATTTCTTTTCCTCTTCTGTCCACTTGCTTCTGTATGCTTGTGTGCTTATAGCTTCTGAACACTTCTTTTCCTCTTCCACTGTTTGCCTCAGTTGCCTTTGATTGCTTGATATGCTGGTTAGGCTTGCTGTTTGATATGATGAGTTGCCTGATATGCTTGCCTCCTATTTGCTTGTATGCCTGCCCTTATGATGAGGTTATCTCTGAGGGTTTGTTCGGACACGGTTTGTTGTTTTGGTTGTGAGTTCTGGATTGAGCTTGGACAGGTTTACAGGCAGGTTAGGCTTGAGGGCTTTGAGGCTTGTGTTCTTGAAAGGCCTTTTGTTTGTTTAAGATTGACACAGGTAAGGCTTTTTGTTTGGTTTATGAGGCTTACGCAGGCTTCAGGCTTGATGGCTTGTGGTTTAGACTAGCAGGTTTGTGATACTGGTTTTACAGGGCTTGAGGGTTCTGTTTGTTGTTTAGAGGCTTGAAGTTTTTGGCCTCAGTTTGTGGCTTAGGCTGGTACAGGTTATAGGTTTGAAGCTTTGAGGCTTGGCCTGTTGAAAGGTTTGACACAGTTTGGTTTAAGGCTTGATGTGCTTCTGGTTTGATTGTTTAGATGCAGGTTAGGCTTGCTGTTTGGGTTGAAGCTTTAGGCTTGGACACAGGTTTTTGGAGAAGCTGTTTGTATGTTACAGTTTGTGATTTGAAACTTGTGGAGGCAGGCCCTTGTTGTTGACACAGCTTGTGGTATTTGCTTTTTGTTATTTTATGCCCCTTTTTTGTGTTGTGGTACGTTGGTTTATATCTTTTCTTGCCTCAAGCCTGCTGTAAGCCTATTTTCTTTTTCTCTTCTCTCTCTCTCTTGACAGATTTAAGCATAAAATATTGCTTTAAAACTGTACTATGCTGAAAAAGTAGTTGGCCTAGGAAAATGATGATATTTGAACCTTTGCTTGCAATGCATATTTTCCAGCTTTCCTGCATCTTGTTGACAGTATTTTGTACTTCTTTGACAGCTTTTGGATAGCCTTTTGTACTTGTTGATGTTTTGATATCTTTTGATATCTTTGGATAGTTGCTTTGACAGCTTGTTGTCCAGTTTGGACTTTGGTTGGGCATGCTTTGCAATTCTGGACAGTTTAGTTTGCTATTCAGTTTGCCTTTTTGATTATGCAGCTTGTTGACAATGCAGTATGTTTGAAAATTTGAATTTGTGTATTTCACATTTTTGCAAGACATTTTATCCCTCTTTGTGAACCAAGAGCAATCTTGTGATTTGCAGAGAGGGGAAACTGATTCCGGCCAGTTACTTTTAATGATGAGTCCCTTTTTTTATCTGTCTGCTCTTTAATTTCATTTCATCTGCTTTTGACTTTTTCTTTCGTTTCTTGTTTTTGCAGATAAAAGTCAATGAAGCGAAAGAGGAGTAGCAGTAGAAGATGGAGATTTAGGAAATTTAGGACATAGTTTTATTTCAATTTAAATTATTTGTAATAATATTAATGTAAATAACTGTAAATAAATTTACAGTATTTAAATAATATCTGTAACAAACAATTCAAAATGAATAAACATCCTTTTTATCAGTTAATTCCTCTTTCAATTTACTGTCCATTTAATTATTTAAATTTCTTAAATTAAAATAACTGAAAGTATCCAATTATTCTGACTTAGAAAAATAATTAATAAACATTGTGGTCTTGCCATTTAGCATGAATCAAAAATAAACCTGGCGCTCCAATTAAACAATGCATAGTTAATCAAACCAACATCCAGATACTTATCTTTTTACTGATTAAATCAAACACTGCAGATTCTCAATTTAAGCACCTCAGCTTTTATCTCATCTCAAATCAAATGCCTTAGCCTTTACTGATTAAACAAAATACTGCAAGTTCTTGATTCAAATGCCTCAATCCAAATCTCAGAGTAAACTGAAAAGAACTGTAGGATTAATTCTTTCTGCGCGCACAAACCCTAGTCCTTGGTTAAATGTCAAAGAAACGTCCGCCTGATCAAAACCTGAGCCAACTCAACCAAACCTTAGTAATCTGCCTGAACTGCTTCAAAAGTTAATGGAAACCCTAACTGAATAGACTGATAAGAAAAAGTCTGTTTGACTGATTCTTGACAAATCTTGGAGAATATGGGAGGGCAAATTTTGGGGTACAACAGAGCAGAATTAGACAAGGATGTCCTAAAAGTCTCCCAGGAATTAGGCAAAGTATCAAGAAGCCACAAACCTTGAATTTCATCATCAAAAGTAAGATTCATCTCCGACAATTGATTTAGAATTTCTTGAAAAGTGTTCAAGTGATCGTTCATTAGTAAACCATCACTATACCTCAATGACATCAATTGCTTGAACAAGAATAACTTATTGTTCCCCTCCTTTCTTGCATACAACTCCTCAAGTTTGGTTCAAAGAGAGCGAGCATGAGTCACTGAGCTCACATGATTCTAAACATTAGCATCCGCCCATTGACGAATATAAACACAAATTTGTCTATGCAACAAAGTCCATTCTTCATCGCTTTTTCCATCAGGTTTTTCATTAGAGAAAATAGACAAGTTAAAACCTTTCACATAAAGCAAATCTTCTATTTTTCTTTTCCAAACATTATAATTGGAATCATTCAAACTCACTGTCCTAGTTGTGTTCGTCTGCATCGTTAGACAAATCAAACAACGGCTCTAGATACCACTTGTTGGGAGGAAATCTACAAACACAACGGAATAAACCAACAACACAATCTCTTCCAAATAACAAATGCAACAACAATCAACAAAACAGATAAAACAACACAACACAATTTTATCGTGGAAAAACCTCTGTTAACTGAGAATAAAAAACCACGGGACCCGTAGGCCACTTAATCTCCACTATAATCAACAATGGGTACAAGCAAGGTTCTCTCTAACACTAGTTAGAGTCATACATAAACATCATCAAAATTTGCAATCAATCTTGAAATACAACAATAATCAAGAGAGACAAAACAATCCAAAAACACCAAGAAATTCAGACCTCAAAGATGGACTCGACATAAAAATTTAGAAACCTCTGAATCCAATCTCCACCGTTCGGAATGTACTCCTATGAGTCATGAACGTTGTGTCAAAATTTCAGGACGATCCAACCGTTGGATTTTGCGCAAGCTTCGATTTTCTGGGACTGACTTATGCAGAATTGGGGCTGCGGGAATAGGGTTTTCTCTCTAGCTTTTCTTGTTGTTTTTCTTACACAATGAATAAATGACATAATTCTCTTTGTTGGATAATAACAACGATATAAACACACATAGACCATTAACCCACATTCATTTGAGCCTCTCCAAATGGAAGGAATAACCCAACTACTCAATTGGAACTTGAACCCATATTAACACTAATGATATAATGTTGATATGTTTCATGTATGAGCTTTGACAAAAAAAATGTTTAAAAAAATAAACTAATTGCATCATAGTCGTCAATCTAATGTCAAAATATGCTATTTTGCATTATTATTGTGCAACATTTAAAAGATAAAACCTCTCAATAATCACCATTTTAAGGGCATAGGGAACTTTTGAGGCCCAATTATTATTGCTGTATAGATCTTTTCAAAAGAAAGTTTTTCAGAGTCTAAGGGCATCTCCCCAGCCATTTGTTATATAACTTTGGTTCAAAAAAAATAGTTCTGTATTCTGTGTAATGAAATTGCAAATTTGTTTACCATTATCTTGGAATGGATTTTTTTTTCTCAGAAAAATGATTGTCATATTAAGTGCATGTTTTGATTAACTTCTACAAATTTCAGAATCAATTTTAGAGATACAGAATTAATTCGGGGTGATTTTGAGGTCTTTGTTTTATTAAAAGCAGAATTGATTCCGCTTTTAGAATTGTTTCTATTTGAAACTATAATTTATAGTTTCTGCCTCTAAAATTGATTTTGTATGATTTTTACACTAAGATTTATTATTCAACTCACTTTTGCTTAAATATATCCAAAGATAAATCAATTCTGCTAAACTCAATTCTATTAAAATCAAATCTACTAAACTCAATTAACTCAATTATGCTAGAATCAATTATGTTGCCAATAAAAAACACCCTAAAAGTAGCTTGTTAGCAAGAGTATTACTAGCAACTCTTATGGACCAAAAATGTGACACATAACAAAGCTTTTAAGACAAGGGAAATTTTGTTCTTCACCTCTCTTCATAAGATGACCAGCATACTGAAACTATTTATATATATACACACAGTTCAAGTCTATCTTCTGAGTGAAAAAATGACCATCATCAACAATGTGGTCACCACACAACAAAAAAGAAACTAAGGAAATATTTGGAAATTTACATGGAGTTGCGGCGGTTACAGAGTATGTAACCAGAGATGAGTGAGCTCATGGCAAATGCAACAAAAGCTAGAAATGACATTCCAACTGAAACAGTAGCCATCTCAGTGAACTCATCTTTCCCCCAATTAGATTGCCAATCATCCACCCTTGTGGCTGCAGAGGATGATGCTGACATCAGAAGATATGCCACAACCTACACATCAATATTTACATAAAATAGGTAAGAGACTAATAGTAATAGTTTGGTTTTTGCAGAGTTCTGTAATGACATGCCTGATCCATGAAGAACTGAAAGTGATAGCGAAGGTGGTGACTGATCATGTGTTTTCCTGTGACTAGTTGAAAGGCTACATCACAAGCTTGTAATCCTGAGTATGCAAATCCGATAACATTCATTGATAAACAATACCTGCCATACATACAACTGACCTTTACCATCACCATTTCTAATGTATATGTATTTGCCCTAGCGTGAAAACTTCAATATATCTTTTAGACTTTGGTGTATTGAAGTTTGGTTTGATATCTAGCATAGTTAATATTAATTCAATTATTTTTAAAATGAGTCTAACAGTGTTAATTTCAGCTAGAAACAATAAATTTTAATGAATGAATAAATACCTGTATTCTTTATAACGATCATAAGAGTCCCCACTCCAACCTTGCGTCTTATTTGCAGCCATAACCGAAAAAGAAATTAGACACACCACCACCTCGCATAGCCGGAACCCTAAACCCGCCTTTCTCGTAACCTCCTCCGCCGTACAGCTTACCGGAGCCGGCCTGGGTCTCCGCTCACCACCTTTTTCTGTAGTCTCCACTTTCGTCACCTGCCGTTGAGGCTCCTCTCTCTCTGATCGGGTGAGCACCGCAAGAGTATTCTCCGGTGGCAGCTTCCGTTGGTCAGGGAGTTTGTCATGAGAAATCTGTTTTAGCTTGTTGACGGTTACCACTGCCATTGGATTTTCTACCAACTTTCCGGGTGAGTTTTCCGGTGATCGGTATTCCGGCGAGTCTGTTGCGTCCCATCGTAAGGGAGAGCAGAAACGTGCTGGAGATTCGAACTGAGTTGAGTCGGAGCCCCTCGACCATGATTTTTTCATGGCTGGGTGAGGTGTTGTTGCCATTCTCGGTTTTCTTTTCAAGTTCCTTTTCCTTGGCTTTCGCTAATTTTGAAAAACATAAGTGGAAGAAAAGAAGAAGATTGAAATAGATAAATAATAGAAAAGAAAAAGTTTGTAAGTTTGATTGGGTGAGTGGTGGGAAAAGGAAAAAGAAAATAAAGTAGAGTGTGTGCTTTTCTTCAGTTTGTGTTTTTAGTGTAATAAAAAGCATATGACACATTCATTGATTTCATTCTATTAAATGCCTACTTCCCTTTCTTCATAGTTCATACATAAATTTGGTTTCTTTAAAAGATTCACACATATCTATATAAAAATTGTTGGACAATTTTATATCTATTTATTAAATCATAATCATAAAATTCTGGCAATATTATAAAAAAATATTCTTTTAGGATTTTCTGAATTTAGTTGAATGTGAACCAAAATGTTGTTATTGAAATTTTTCTTTAAATTGATAGTTGTGTAAGATTAGGGTAGTACAATTACTAAAAAAAAAAAAAAAAGTGAATTAAACTGAACCATAATAAAATATCATCCGAATTAAACTATTTCAGTTTATTTAAAATCGAATCAAAATAAAATTATTGATTTGGTATATTTATTTGAAATTTCAAAATTATTAATTTGGTATATCTATTTAAAATTTCAAATGATATCAAACTATTAGAAGATAATTTTTCTCAAACTAACTCATTATTAAAGAACCAAAAACTATTATACTTCTTTGAATTTTTGACAAAAAAAAATTAACTTGTTTTTAACATTATTCATTTTCACTTTCAATTCAGTTTTAATTTTGATTCAGTTAAATTTCAATTTCAATTTGGTTAATTTGCTATTTAATTTAATTCTAGAATTAATTGTGCAACACAAATTCAGTTTATTAACCAAACATAATGATGGTTCGATGGTTTTTTTCAGCAATCCTATGTAAAATCCATATAGTGAAGTTAAGAACCACAAAAATGCTCTTAATTTCTCAAAAAACCACAAGTTGCTTGATGAAAAACGTGAAAGAAATTAAATTATGCAACTAATATTATGTTATTTTTTCAATGATCAATTTTAAGTTGATGGCGTCTTGGAAATAAAAGATGAAAAATCAAGTAGGTCCAATTACCTAAGCAAGCTTTTCAATGGATGAATATCTTATTTCTTTTGAGAGTGGATTGTCTTTAATTCAATAAAGCCTTAAAGTGTTTCAGACTTTAACTTAGTGTCGACCATAAAGGTTCACCCTCCGCGTTATAATGCAATTCATTCATGCAAATGCTAAATAATTGAGCTCTTAATTTTCTCACAAGACACTTTTTATCTCTTTCCACGCCATCAAAAGCATTATCATAGGTTTTTATAGGATCTATCTTGACTCACTTTTTTGAGCTACCAATACCTTAACCACATTCATTCTTCTTGATGGGGTCATAAAATGCACAAAGCATATAACTTCCAATTTTCTTTATGTGACCAAATTATCATAGGTATGCAACTCTTTATTATCAACTTTAGTTACGAACGATCCCACGCAGATAGCTCGGTTGATGAATTAGGAAACACGAAAAGAGCATTAAGGAGGTCCAGAGTTCAAACTCTAAAAACTAACATAACTTCTAACTTACTAACACAGCCATAACCATAATGCACATAAAGGATCCCTTAAGGTCTTTCTATAAGTTCCTACTACACTATTTTGTCAATCAGCAAAATTTATATATACATAAGATGGTATTAAAGAGATTGAGTAAACAAACAACCAAAAATTAACTCTTAAAAGGCATTGAGAGGCTAGAAAAATTACAAGTGCCTGCGTGTCTGAGTAAGTAAGACTATTGCTCAATGAAGTAAGCTAACATAATCTCCATCACTATTGTCAGAATCCTTCATATTCCAACGGATGGTCTGGGAAGAAAGAAATTGGAAGGGTTTTGTGGCTTACTCGGGTAGTTTCAACCGGTTGAATAGCACAAGAAAGCTTTGGTCGGGCACAACATAAAGGAAACCAAGATCTGCACCTTTCATGTGAGGTCCCATGCCCTAAACACAGCACAGCATTAATGTCAACATAAATTCTAGATACAAAAACTGGTTTGTTGATTGATACCAATAATCCTGCTTGTATATTTAGAGGAAAGGCGACACATTTTACCACTAATTTACCTTGCCGTTAAGTTGAAGCAATTCTCCATCAACCCATTTTGGATTCTGGAAACCAGAGTCTGCTATTCTCCCCTGGCCTCTATAACTTGCATTCTGTTTGTAAATGAGTACAGGATTTAAGATAAGTTGCATGCTTTTCAGAACAATCCACATGACCAAAATGACAAAAATAAAAAATAAAAAAATTGGGTGAAGAAGCAACAATGTAAAACAATAAAAATATATGTGCCTAAAAAATTAAAATATGTTTTAAAATATTCGTAATCAACAATTTCAATTACCAGGAAACTGATGGAAAAAGCTTAATTTGTTGGCAGTTAATTACTATTACCATTTTTTGTATATTGTGAATGGTGATGTCACTTGATACAATGACTTATGAGCCATCTCTAAAGGTTAAGCTGTAAGGTGAAGAACACGTGGATGAGTTCGGCAAACATGTGCACAAGTCTACCTAACATGTGCTAGCATTTAACTTTTCAAAAAGAATGAAAGAGGCAAGGATTGAACTTTAGATCATTTGGTCAAAAGAGGCTTTGATATCATATCATGAACAATCCTGACTGAACTATCCAAAAAGCTTAAATTGTTTTGAGACACTTGATTTGTTTTTCCATTATATATTTCTAACAATACTAACTACCAGTGGAATAGCTTCTTTCAGAACTGTAATATAAAGATGCGATCCAATTTTCTCGCATTTATCTGAAAAAGAAAAATAGTGCACGCATAGAAATAGCTAAGCATAACAGCTGGTGTGATGTTATATCATAACAAATTGTTTATAAAAACAGCTCACAGCATGATGAATTGGAAGGGAAATTGAAATAGAAAATGAGCATAAAACCGTGAATATGTATTTAGTTATTTACCACTCCTAATTCATCAGGGTACAGTCCACGGTTTGCATTGCGATTGACTTTGCCAATTTTAGCACGGAATGTCACCTACACATCATAATGTAAGATTTTGATTCCTACCATGCTCACATATAAACCGAATAGAAGCATATGAATAAAAAAGGATAACAAAATTCGAGAGATTCAAAAGGCATAAATCACCTGGCCTGCAGGAACATTAAGATCCCCAGTCAATTTCACTGCCTCGACATATTCAAAAAATTTGATATCGGAAGTGTTGGTTTCGTCGTCCGCATCATTCCAATGTCCAAATTTTCGCTTCAATTGCACTATTTCAATACCATAAGGGCCAAATGCACCAACATAGAGTCCTGCATTTTAACCAGTAAAATCCATTCTCTAAGATATTTTTTCTGCGTAAATTTAAAATAATATAATCAACACAAGAGGATAAGCCAACGCACCATCGAAAGGATCAATGTCCCCTATGGAACCGGAACTTGTAATCCGGCTAAAATATGTATCTTCAGATAATCTACTCTTTTTCTGTGCTTGGCTAATAGCAAGTTTGACAATTTGTCGCATGCTTTTGGAAACCTAAGTCATGTGAGATATTAGTCATTTTGATAAAAATAAATAAAAACAGTTTTTCAATAATAATCAAATTACTCAATCTCACCTTAGAAGAGACTTTATCAGAACCCCAGAATGCCTTAGCAACATCGGAAGGCATAAGTTCTGAGATTCCTTGTGCTGCTAGTGCTGCCACTTTGATATTGCGAACTTTATCCTCTTTCCTATCATTGTCTAGATTTCTCTTAGGTATATGTAAGAGGAAAGAATCTCTTTCCATATTATTTATTTCTGCGGGAAGACGTATAAATTCATCCTTAGCAGCATTATCTTCATTGCTGTGTACAATCCCCCCCCAAAAAAGCTTCATATCTAACTCCTTTTCTTCTTCCGAGGCATCAATGTCACCTTCTAGATTGATCTCATCAGGTTCGTCCATATTATTAACTTCCCCTTCAGAATTCTCAGTGGAGCTTGTTTTATTACCATCTTCCTCCATGATTTGTTTAATAGAATCACTACCCTCTCTCTCTTCCTCTTCAACATTAACATTCATAACTTTAACTTTCAACCCTGGAATTTTTTCTTTCAGAAAATTTATGACACTTTTAATGCCCTCTTCAGTTGCCGCTTCAATGTTATTGTTTTTCTCATCGTTTCTCTCCTCTACCTTCTCTTCAGGTTCCTCCACCTCAACGGAAGACAAATTCTCAACCTCGGGTTTGGATGGGCTTTTAGCAGGTATAGATGGAGGATTACTTGTAGAATTTCCTTTGGATCTTCGCAAATACACTACCTATTATGTGTTGTCATGTAAACATCATAAGCATTATCACACATACTAACAGAGTCAATTATTCAGAATCAGGTAGATATCAAAGGCAAAGGCACGAGACTTAACAATTGTTATGCTAACTGAAAAATCTTAAACTTCAACCAAAAGCTCATGTTCTACGGAAAAAATGATGTTTCCATTCCATAATTCATTTTATATTCAGATCATGATACATGAAAATGTTTCTTCATTTAAAATTGAAATAAATTCAAAATCACCCATGATCCATAAACATACATTTGAACTAAGACTTTGTTTCACCCCAGGGTATAATTAAGTCACAAACAGACAATGATCGTTTACTGAAAAGTTTGAATATATTACCTGCATATGATATGTGTCGTCCGCATTTTTTACCACATAAATTTCAAATAACGGTGTTCCGGTAGATGATGTGAGCAATTGTCTGTAGCAAACAGAAATAAGCATTGATCCCCATTCACTAGAGCGAAAAGAAGAAACTACAAAGATCGTACCTTGGACTGTAAATCTTGCCGACAAACCTGCCCATACCAGGACTTATACGTATTAGTCTACCAAATGGGTCCTCTGAATTTTTCGAGTATCCTACCCAC